TGTGCGAGCAGAGACTCCCTGTGCCTGGTGCACTAGGTCAACAGTGACTCTGAGGATTCTTGAGTGATATCTGCCTCACTTGGTCTGGGGAAAAAACAAAAACCAGACCATCTCTTGTGAGGCTTGAGACTGGAGAGGTTGGGAAGCTGCCTTCTGAGTCAGCCTGAAGTCGTCCCCAGGTAGGAAGGGAGCTTGGGGGCAGAGCATGCACCTGTCCATGGGTACCACCAGGCCTGCCCAACCACCAGGACCCCTTATTGAACATGGGGAACTCAGCCTCCATCTGCTGAAGGACCACACATGTTCATGTCCCAGTTACTGTACAGGTGGGCAGTGGCAGGGGCCTCCAAAAAAAGTGGGGATTGAAATCAGATGAGAGCATGGACCTCGGAGACACTGAAATGTAAGTAAGGGCTACAGACTGACACTAGGCCCATGGGGCTAGGGAGACTTCCGGTCAGGCAAATAGTATTTATTTCTCACTCCTGGGAATAACCCATTTCCCACCCCTTCCTCCTCCCCTGGGGAAATCTATTCCAGTCTCAATTTATCATCCTTTAGGACTGAGGCATGGGATCATATACCCTGAGAGGGGCTGCTTCTGGCCTAGCTTGCTCAGCTGACCCAGATTGCAGTAATTTGGGTCTGACCCACAGGGTCTGTCTCTTATGCCAGCTAGGATCAGATGTAGTGAATCTATGTGGAACCCAACTGAGGCTCCACCCAAGATCAGCAGGATGGAGTCAGTGATAGATTAGCAATGTCTGCAGGGGTTGGTGAGGGGAAGATGAAAAGGTCTGCCACCTCTAGCCTAGCTCCAGGATGCAGAGGCCTCTGCTGTGATCTGACAGCTGCACTAGGGCTATTTTTGCTCCTGGCTTTCTGTGGAGCACAGCACTGCCTGGCCTCCTCAGCTGTGTGACGGCATCAGCTCACATCAATCTTATAGTCACCGAAACATCTCTAGGTCTCTTCCCATTCACAGCTGTCAGGTCAGATCTTCTGCATCTTGACGTTGCTTCCCTTGTGTGGACATGAAAATAATTGCAGTCAGTACCTTTTAGGTGGGCATCTAGAGTTATTTCTAATCTTGCATGCTTAGAGACCACAGCACTGTGAAAGTCCTTGTATTTATCTCTTTGTGTGTTGGTCTTCTTGGCTTAGCATATGCCTAGAAGAAGAATTGTTGAACCAGGAAGATCTGAGACTTGTAACAGGCAGCAACCACCTAACTACCATAGAACATTCTAGAAATTGAATAGTTAGGAACTGTTGGATGTGGAATGTATGTCTCGTCCATTCCTTGATCTGCCTATAGTCTAGGAGTCTGGAAGAGACATATGGTAGGTTAAGGGTATCATTGAAGATGTACGTACTCTGTGGTGTTCAGTCCTGTCTGACAGACCTGCACTTAGGGAGAAATTTCCCCCAGAGAGCTACACCTGGGATGGAGGGAAGGTGAAACACAGAACCAGGGCTCAGGAGGCTGGAGGAGGTACCAGGTCAGGATGTAGGGCCTGGGTGTAGCTGTTGTCACCCCAGAGTCCTGGATGGAGACTAACATATAGAATACTCCTCCATTTATAGTGTGGACGTCCTGGGATATTTATCCTAAGTGGAAATATTGTTAAGTTGGTGTATTGGCTCTCCCACAAACACACTACACAGTAGAAGAATCTGAGTGCAAACTTCTTTATTTCTGGACACTGTGAGTCTCTGTGGCTATTTTGTAGTAAGGGGCAGTTCTTGCACCTCCCTCCAAAGAACACATGGTGGAGTGTAATCAATCTCATAAAGAAGCTCTAGGGGGATGCCACAGAGAAAAGTCATCCTGGGTCTCTCCCCGGATGTCCAGGTGTCCATCAGAGTAGAATGGTACAACCCTGCTCATGCCTGCCCTAGCAATGGGCCCGAGAGTGTCTTTGCTCACTGTCTTGGCAGCATGGGCCTTTCTGCTTAGAAGAGTTGTCTTTGCCCTTTTTGAATCAAAAACATTCCAATAAAGGACTGTTGGTGTCTGACACTGTGTGGCTTTGGATGTGTGTGTGTGTGTGTGTGTACCACAGCATGTGTATGGTGATCAGAGGAGAAAGTAGGTTCTCCTTCTACCATATGGGTCCTGGGGATCAGACTCAGGCTGTCAGCTTTGGTAGCAAGCACCTTTACCTGCTGCGTTATCTCTCTGGTCCTGGGTGTTTTTCTGGACTGTAGAAAGCCTGTCCGACCACACAGCTCCACCTGTAGAGACTTGACAGGTGACCCCAACCGTGTGAGGCTGTGTTGGCCTTGCCCCTCCCCCTTCTCATAGGGGAAGCCCTGGAGAGACCTGGCCTTCTCTCCCAGCATATTCTGGAAACCTATTGCCCAGAACTGCCCAGAGCAGTAACACAGCTCCAGTGCACTCCTTCATCCCTAGTCCCACCCCAAAGTTACCCTCCCCGGGGCAGACACCACTGTGATGTTTCATCCATGGAGGCAAAGCCAGCTGGGATAAATCTTTGTCCTTAGTGCCCCTGCCCTAAGCTGAGACCTACTGTGTAGGCTGGATCTCCCAGGCTTGCAGGCAGCCTAGGCCTTGCTCTTTCCCCATGGCCAGCAGCAATGAATGCCCTGCCCTTGAAGCTGTTCTCAGGCCAGACAAGAAAAGACTGAATCCTTCTAGCCACTGCTCCTCCAGCCTGGACTTTGAGGGTCAGGGACAGCACCATGAGGCAGGCCTAGTCCATTCTTCTCTGCCTGAACTCCCTGTGGTTCTTTCTAGCACAGCCTGGCGACCACCGAGGAGCTTCAGGCTCTGCTCCAGGGATGGAGGTGACTGCTGTCTTTTCCACCTTCTGATTCAGGGCTCAGCCTGTTTGAAATCCCCTACAAAGGCACAGGCTATATTTCCTCCAGCTCATTGTACACAGAGCCAGACCCTTGACCAGAACATGCATTCAGTTGAGGGGCATGCGTTTCTGTGTGTGCTGACCCACCTGAGTGAAGTGGGACCCAGCTTTGATTCCAGAGAGCCTGGGTGGGCTTTCCCAGTGGAGGCTGCTGTTCTGTATTCTGGCTGGGTGGCCTAATTCTAATGGTACTTATTTCTTCTTTTTCATGATGGTTGGTTGAAGTTCTGAGCATTTAATGAAAAGTGTGCTGTTCAAGTTTCAGCAAACACTGGGTCCAAAGGACACTAGTGGGGGTCCAGGGGCAATAGTGGGTCAGGTGACTCTGTGGTACCCAGAGAACCTTGAAGGGTGGTGTTTCTTGGACTAAGTTACTAATATTACCAAAAGGAAAACTATAGATAGAGCCAGCCAAAGCATGTATCTCCCAATTCCTCCTCCAGGTAGGCCCTTCTCAAAGAATGACTGTCATTCCTTAGCCACTGGGGCATGTTGGGAGGTTCCATTGCCTGTCCCTGAAGGCCAGAGGCAGCTGCTAAGCCATAGGCCAGAGGCAGGTGCTGAGGTTTGCTTCTGTCCCTTGTGTAGAGTGGTCAGAGTCCAAGGGCAGGCAGCGTTGGCCCTCCCTGCTTCAGGCTCCCTTCCATAGGCCCCAACGTGGAGACCCCCTGGAGAACAAACAACAGGACTCTAGCAGAACTGAGCAGGGCAGCCTGTCTGCCAGGCTGCTTAGTGTAGGACATTCCTCATTGGTCTGAAGAGGGGACATTTTGGAAAGGACTGCAGTCTGGGTGGGTCCCTTGTTCTTTTTTCTCTGTGCCCATTCTGGAGACCCTCCACCCTGCCCCAGGGATCACAGGCCTTTTAAGTTTCTGCCAGCGCCCGGGTGTCTGGTCTCACAGGGACAGGGAGCCTGGCAAAGGATGAGAACTTGTATTAGAAACTCTTCAAATCAGTGTCTCCTTTTTTTCCCCATCCCTCCCTGAAAAGCAACTGCAGAGGGAACGAGTATCTGTACAGAATAGAATGTTCCAGGCCCAGGGCTGGGATGAGTCAGCAACCAGTCCCTCTGTCCCCACTAGTTGGCCTTGCTCCTGCTTGGCATGAAGGTACTCTGGAGCAAAAGGCAGTGAGATGGAAGGGGACCCGCTTCCAGCCTTTGGTACCTGGGACAGTGTTTACACGGGCCTCATACTTGTCACCGCGCTTCCTCTTCACAGGGAAAGTTAAAATGTAAAACATTTGAGTAACATCGGGTTTGCTTCTGAGTCTGCCATGACAAATGCCAGAGGTGGACCTCAGCCACAGGCCTTCAGTATCTGCAGGCTCTGGAGGCTGCCAGTCTGCAATGGAGGTGTGACCTGGCTGTCTTCTCCTGAGCCTCTCTCCTTGGTGTGCCGCCTGCTCCTCGAGTGTTCATACCATCTTCTACCATACATTCTCCTTCTTAGAAGGATACCAGTTCAGTTATACTAGGATCTACCCTAATGCCTTTCATTTTAATGATCCTATCTACAGGGAGCTAGAGACGGCTTAGCTGTTAAAAATTCTTGCTTTTGCGGAGGACCTGGGTTCAGTTCCCAGCACTGACATGGTATCTCACAACCATCTGTAACTCCAGTTCCAGGAGATAGACATTCTTCTGACCTCTGCAAGCACAGACACATACGTTCATGCAGACAAAACACTTATACATATAAAATAAAGAAAAATAATTTTAAAAGATTCTGGCTCCTAATATAGTCATGGGGATATAGGGGAACAAAACCAATCCAACATTTAATTCAAGTGGCAGGAGAGGTAGTGATCTTATTTTTTGAAAACACAAAGAGTACTTAGCACAGACCAGGCTCTGTTCTAAGTGCTAGGCACCATTAGCTCCACAGTTGGTCAAAACCTCTGTCATTGGAGGGCTGATACTTAGTTGGGAAGCCGGCCCCATCAGTACAGTATACCAGATGTTAGAATATTGAAGTTGTTCAGAAGCTCCGGGAAGATGCAGAGCAGAGGGCTCTGCATAGTCCCTGGCTACCTGGGAGCACTCTTCCTTTTCCTACTCACCAAGTTCTGCTTTTCTGTTTAGCATGTGTCTCTCTTCTCTCTCTTCTGCAGTGTTGAAGGTGAGGCCCCAAGTAGTGAGACTGGCACATCGCTGGATAGCCCCTCAGCCTACCACCAGGGTCCCTTGGTACCTGGTTCCAGCCTGAGCCCAGACCACTACGAGCACACGTCAGTGGGTGCATATGGGCTATACGCAGGGCCAGGACCACAACAGCGCACACGGAGGCCCCGGCTTCAGCACTCGACCTCCGTCCTGCGCAAGCAGGCTGAGGAGGAGGCCATCAAGCGCTCTCGGTCACTGTCTGAGAGCTATGAGCTCTCTTCAGATCTGCAAGATAAGCAGGTAGGTGGCAGGAGTCACTTCCCGCCGTGCATGACCTCCCAAGTGACACAAGGCCTCAGTTGCCAGATGCTCTTAGTGATGGATTCCAGATACCAGCTAGGGTGCCTATCTGAGGATGAGGGGAACCCTGCTTTCACTTCTTCTAGAGCCTTTTCCAGCCCAGCTCTGCTGAAACATGGGAAGGGATTTACACTGATGGCCAGGGACACTGGCATCCTTTCTGGGGACTTATAGTATCCTCTTCAAATGTTGCCTTTGTAGGTCTCCATATCCCTCACTGCTAGGATCTGGCCTATGCTAGACACCTGAGTGTCATGACCCAGCACCACTAGACCACAGGTTGCCAAGGTGGCTGTGGAGGTTCTTAGGTCCCAAGAAAGGCCTGAGGGAGGGGGGTTACTTATTATCCTACCTAGAGACTGTGACTCCACAATCTCTAGAGAAAGTCTTCGTTGAATGCTGTAGCTCTTCCTCAGGCCTCAAACCCAAGGTCAGGTGGCCTGGCCCACTTTTGGGGTTGGCTGTGAGCAGAGCAGATCCTCACAGTGCAGTTGTTCAGCAGAGAAGAGGATGGTAAGGGAATGAATGCCCACTGTTTGACTGTGTCTCTGAGCAGTGCCAGGTTTCAGGAGCTCTCTGAGCTTCATGGATGTGTAAAGACAAACAGAACATCTGGCTGGCATTTCATAGCTCTGGGCCTTGTGCTTTGGGTAAGCTCCATGTCTCCCAGGCAGTCCCTCAGCCATGGGCTGACACCAGGATCCCTTCCCACAGCCCACAAGTGTTATCTCCTTCTCACCCATATCTGCTAGCCACTTTGTTCCATTTGTTTTCCAAGGACCTCAGTCCTTAAAGGAACAGAGGTCTAGGCTTATGCCCTCTCATCTTCCTGAGGACATGGTGGGGTGCCCTCAGGGTGGATCTTCTCCCTCAGCAGATACCTCCCAATCATGACCTCTCATCCCTGGGGTGATGATTTGTGACACAGGATAGCTCTGCCCTCCTCTGCTCACATGTGTTATCCTCCTTGTTAGTTGAGACTCACAAGGGGCCTCGTAGCAATACCCCCATAGCCGTGGACCTTGATTCCTTTGCCAGGTCAGCAGCAGGCAGAACAGCCTCTACTGAGTTTCTCAGCTCTGCAGAGATCCAGAGTGGTCCCTGAAGAGTTTCTTGTAAAAGCCATCTGAACAGGACCATGAAATAGAATTGGGCAAGGTTGAGACGGCCTGTAGGAATGATTACATGCCACAGATATGCGCTGTTCACCTTCATTCCATCCATAGCTGAATTTCCCCTGGTGCCAGATAATAGGATAAGGGACAGCCTGCAAGATGAGGATGCTGCACCTGAGTGACATTCCTGGACAGTGGACGTGTGTCTGAAGCAAATCAGCAGTTCAGACATTTTCGCTGCAGGAAGTGACCCAGACCCTGGAGGTCATAATTCTGGAGGAAGAATTAGAGGGACTCTGAGTGTTGGCTGTTTCAGATGGTGGTGGCCTGAAAACTGGGCATTTGGAAAAGAGCTAACCGTATGTGCCAAGGCTTTGGTACAAGAATGACCTTGGTGTATGTGAGAGAGAAAAGGTGGCAGAGAAGAGTTGGCACAGAGGCAAGAGGAATCAGCATGAGTAGCCACGTCGTGCTCCATGTTGCCTGAACTTCCTGGAGCAGGAGTAGGGTAGAGAATTGTGAGGGGAAGGTGGAAGTCCATCTTAGTGAAAAGAGTCAGATGCATTCTCCTTAACCCTACCCTCCGTGCCTTCCCCTTTCCGGTCCCTAAGAGCAGGAGGCCTGCATGGGGAACAGAGAATGACCTCAAGTCTCTGGGTGGTGGCAGGTGTGCCTTGTGGAAGGCAGTTCCTCTGGATCCTCATGCATAATCCTCAGCAAGTAAACATACCAGGGTGAGCCCTGGCCCCAGGGAAAGCCTTCCTGCAACTGGCTGTGAAGCCTGGCTACTAGCTTTCCTCACGTCATCTGAGATCAGGGATGGCGTAGTTCCTAGTCTCTCAGTATGATAAGAACTATATGAGGGTGTGGTCCAGTTCCCGGCATCCCATGAGTAGCAAGTGTTAGTTGCTTTTCCCTCCTCTGGGTCCCAGAAGAGCTATAGATGGGGCCTCATGTCACTTCTAAACCAGAAGGCAGGATAGCCATGGTGAGTTCAGGATTGAGAGAGAATAGGGTTGGGACAGCCAGTGTCTGCTTAGGGGAGGGCAGAGGAGTTTTCTTGGTGACTCATCCTAGAGCCCATTTCTGCCCTTCTAGTGAGCCATCATTCAACCCAATACAGACAGCAGGATAGCCCCTAGTCTCCAAAGTCCAGGGCATCAAGGAAGGCCCTGGGGTAGGCTTTGGTGACTCTGGTATCTCTGAAGCCCTTGGCAGGGATTCCAGGTGGAAGCCTTCTTAGGCAGGGGATTGAAGGAAGGAAGGGTGCTTCCTAATCTCGGCTTTGGTCCCTTCCTGATCCTGAGCTTTTTGCCCACTCAGCCAAATATAGTAGTTTTGCTTGTTGATGTAGCAGTCCAGCCATCTCTGGCTGTTCCTAGAGCTGCTTCCTGGTAGCCCTGAGATGGTGTGCAGCGGGGCCTCTCCTAGGCTTGGGCCACAGCCCTGGCTTTGCTGTGTCCCTGGTATTCTGTATCAGACTGTGCATCTTTCTAACCTAACCCAGGGTAGGGAGGGACCTTGTGTGTCCTTTTGCATTGCTATGCATGATGGATGAGGTGCTGGCTCATAGTGCCAGACAGGTGGAATCAGGATTTTACCTCATCCTGAGAACCTGAATCCTTTCCTCATTCCTGCAGAGATAGAGCCCAGCCCCAGCAGCCAGAGACAGATTGCTGATTCCTGCAGACCAGGCTATAGCTAATTGTGTTTCATACTCACCCAGGATCCAGACTCAGGATTAGCCCTCAGGCTAGGTAGATTGTAAGGCCTGAGACTTCAGGAGACCTTGGGTCACTCTTGACAGATACTGAGCTGAGGTGCCTGAGAACTTGCCCAGCACACCTCCCAACTCACAACCATGCCCCTCAGAGCTCATGGAGCCTTGGATAAAAGGAGAGCCAGCCTTGCCAAGTCTTACCTAGGTCTCAACTCAGCCATCTGTATAGCAAGGAGCACAGAGACCTCACAGCTGCATCTGCCACCTGGGAATGGGGCTGAGCTCTTCATCCAGCTGCCCCTGGCCTATGCCAGGCACCTGCCTTTCATCACTGGGAGCTTACCAGAGCACTAGAAAGTGGGTTCTACTACCGCCCCATGTTGCAGTTAAGGAAATGGAGGACTTCGTGGTTCCAAGGCTTGTCCAAGCTAAAGAGAGGCAGAGCCAAGGTCAAGCCACACCCTCTCACTAGGTTCTGACCTGTTCATGCCTCAGATTCCCCAGCTCTGGGGTCACATCTGTAGATACATTTTTAGAAAACCTGCAGGGTCCATAGCTTCAGTGGCCAGAGGTATTGAAAGTCTCAGCACGTGTGTGTTACTACCTTTACCCTGACACTGAAAACCTCCAACCACCTCAAGCTGCTGTTTTAAGCAACTTGGGGATGTGATGAGACCATCCCAGGTTACATCGCTACAGAGCATATAAAGGGTAGATACCTGTCTCTGTGCCATCACACAGGGCCCACATTCTCCTCTCCTTACCCCACCAGGTGGAAATGCTAGAACGCAAGTATGGGGGACGCCTTGTGACCCGCCATGCAGCCCGCACCATCCAGACGGCGTTCCGCCAGTACCAAATGAACAAGAACTTTGAGCGCCTGCGTAGCTCCATGTCAGAGAACCGCATGTCACGCCGCATTGTGCTGTCCAACATGAGGATGCAGTTCTCCTTTGAAGGCCCCGAGAAGGTGCACAGCTCCTACTTTGAGGGCAAGCAGGTCTCTGTGACCAATGATGGCTCCCAGCTGGGTGCCCTGGTGCCATCAGAATGTGGAGACCTTAGCGACCCAGCCCTCAAGTCTCCAGCACCCTCCAGTGACTTTGCAGATGCCATCACAGAACTGGAGGATGCATTCTCCCGGCAGGTGAAGTCCCTGGCTGAGTCCATCGATGATGCCCTCAATTGCCGCAGCCTACACAGTGAGGCGGTACCAGCCCCAGACACAGCACGGGCCCGGGACACTGAGCCCAAGCTCAGTCATGGCATGGACCACCACAAATTGGATGAGATGACAGCCTCATATAGCGATGTCACCCTCTACATTGATGAGGAAGAGCTGTCACCACCTCTGCCGCTCTCACAGGCTGGGGATCGGCCTTCCAGCACAGAGTCGGACCTGCGGCTAAGGGCTGGGGGTACAGCCCAGGACTACTGGGCCTTGGCCCACAAGGAGGACAAGGCTGACACAGACACGAGCTGCCGAAGCACACCATCACTGGAGCGGCCAGAGCCAAGGCTGCGAGTGGAGCACCTTCCCTTGCTTACCATTGAGCCACCCAGTGACAGCTCAGTGGAACTCAGTGACCGCTCAGATCGAAGCTCACTCAAGAGGCAGAGCGCCTATGAGCGCAGCCTCGGTGGACAGCAAGGCAGCCCCAAGCATGGCCCCCACGGTGGCCCCCCCAAAGGCCTCCCCCGGGAGGAGCCCGAGTTGCGGCCTCGGCCCCCCAGACCTCTCGAGAGCCACCTGGCCATCAATGGTTCAGCCAACCGGCAGAGCAAATCTGAGTCTGACTACTCAGATGGGGACAATGATAGCATCAACAGCACATCCAACTCCAACGATACCATAAACTGCAGCTCTGAGTCCTCATCGCGGGACAGCCTGCGGGAACAGACACTCAGCAAGCAGACATACCACAAGGAGACCCGCAACAGCTGGGACTCACCAGCCTTCAGCAATGATGTCATCCGTAAGAGGCATTACCGAATTGGCCTGAATCTCTTTAACAAGTGAGTTTCCCCTTCATGCAATGTGGACAGAACCACATGGCCTTGGCAGTCACAACCCTAGGCCTAGGCAGGATAAGGCAAGAGGCAAATTCACCTTCCTTCCTGCTGTGAGCCTCTGCCCACCTCCCCACTGAGGCCGGAGTTTCAGGCAGTCTTTATAATAAGGTCAAGGCAGGATGCTGCGCCACATTTATGATTAGAGCAGCTTTGAATGTCAGGAGACCCAGCTCCTTTCAAGGACCATTGTGGAGGTGGCTGATGTTCCTGGGCTAGACAGCAGAGTGGGGACTCTTTTGTGGTAAATCCCTACCCATCATTTCCACCCATGTGTCCTCATAGCAGGCTCAGCCTCAGATGATATGAAGCACAAAGGTCTTGAACAAGCTGGTGGCAGGTTTCTATCTGTAGGCTGCCACAGACAGAACATTTGAGTGGCTGCTCTGGAGGGGCTCAGGGAAAGTGCGGCTGGGCCTTCCTGAGAGTGAAGCTATGGTAAGAGGTGGATATTTAAAGTAAACTATTCTTAGCAGGGTCAAAAATAGCATGGGAAGTGGGGAGGACTGAGCACACCCTCAGAGGGGACCTTGGCAACTCTTGTTTAACCTGAGATTTCACATTTCCTTCCCTGGGGACTCTGGTATTTGGGGTCATTAGACTCCAGCCTGGTGTGGTTTCCCTGGGGGCTGTGGACCTGAAAAGCATGTGACTAGCCTGCCTGCTGGTTACAAACATAAACCCTAGGAGTTTCCCAGAAGGGCCACAGGAGGGTAGTGGGGCACAGTGGGGGTCAGCCACATCTGAACCACACCTCGCTGCTCCCTGCTGCTCCTTCAAGACTAGGATGGCATGATTTGAGCATCCATCGCAGATGGACTGCGACAACAGAGGGACCTGATAGGGAGGGTATGGTATAGAGACTAATGAAGGTCTTGCTGCTGGTGATAATGGACCTTATTTCTTGTGTGCCCCATGGGGTGCACCCCAGCATGGTCCTCTGAAGGTCATTTGGCTTGTTGCTTCAGTCTCTTCATGACTCTGGAAACATGACACTGTGTATGGACTGTCCCCACACCTTCTCAGGATGACAGCATGGAATTGTAGGCTCCTGGGTAGGGATTTTCTTAGGCATCAGAGCTGCCAAGTTCATGTTTAAAAGGGGCTATACCAGTTTCCCACCCCTGATCTGACAGTGCTTGCTCCCCACTCACAACATTTTGTTTTGCCCTGCTTCCTCCGGGCAGAGTATAGAATATATCATTGTAATTTGTATTTTCTGCTTACTTTAAAGGCACCATCTGCCAGCTCTTCTCTGTTTCATCTCACTTTTCTTCATTGTCACTTTTTCCCCCAGTTCTAGGTCTTGAGCTTAGTACCAGTGGCAAGTACTTCCCTCATATTTTGAGACAGGATATCACAAAATTGCCCAGGCTGGCCTGGAACTCACTGTACAGCCCCAGCAGGCCTTTGACATTATGACCCTCCTGCCTGAGCCTCCTGAGGTCCAATGTTTGTCACTTTTGAGGATATGTCATCATGGGGCCTTCTTAAGGATGACTCTCAGAATTAGAAGTATGTCCCCCGCTGGCTCCTTTTCTTTCTTGTCTTTTTCTTAGAGTTTTTCTTTGCAGATATAATTTGAACACAATGAAAGGACCCTGAGAAGCATCTAATTGGCTTTAGCTGCACTGCTCTTATCTGATGGACATATTTAATTTCACTAGGTGCAGCCACCAGTACCTCTATGTTTGAAATTGCTTTTTCTTTTTATGTTTTGTTTTCTATTCTTCTAATTATTTTGCCCTGCTGGGGACTAAACCCAGGGTCTTGAAAAGGCTAGGCAAATGCCAACTTTTACACTTTCATACATCTGCTCTGTGTGTGTGTGTGTTTTCATGAGTGAGCAGGTGCTGATACACGTGTGTGCCCATGCATATATGTGTGTTAATGCTATCTTCCCAGACCCTCATGTGTCTAGGTATTAAGACAAGGAACTCTCCATTGTCACATCTTTCACAGATAGTTGTTCCTTGTGAATTTTAGAATCAATTCATTGAGATCCTTCAGTGGACACTAGAGCCATCTCCAGATTGGAAGTGAATTTGGAGAAATGGCCCCTTAACACTGCCAGAGACAGGACTGGAAGACCCAACCTAGGGACGTACATAATTAAAACTAATGAAAATTAACTTGGCTCTCCAGGGGCACCAGCCTTGTGGTTACTGGAGACCAAGGTAGGTGCATACTGTGAAACACGCCAGGCCAGCCTAGATCCCAAAGGGGCAGCCTGCAGCAGTTCTGGTTCTGAGAGATCTAGCTGGTAGCCACTGGCAGGAAGCAGTAAGGTTCCATGTGAAACAGACACCAAGGCCCTGGCTGGTTCTCAGCTCAGTCCCTAACAAGCACCCAGTCTCAGTTTCCTCCTTCACCCCAATCATGATGCCAGGGAACATAGAAAATTCTGAGAGAAGTCATCTTGCTTTAAGTTTGCCAGATAAACCAGACCTCTTTGCCAGTGTTAGAGCCTTTTGGTCCATTTCTAAAGCTCTTCCATAGATGTGGGGAAGAGCTCTAGGAGTCAGAATTGACTGGCAGCTCAAGGTTTAGTTCATAGAACCCCAGGGCCCCTCCAGGGACAGATCTGAGAGCCTGAGCATTCTGGCCTGGGCTGGAGTGTAACTGCTTTGCCCTAGGGCCTTTGTGTTCTATGCCAGGCCTTTACGGGTCCTCAGCAGTCCCAGTACCATGCCAGTTTCCCACTCTTAAAACCCAACCTTCATTCCCCTCTGATTTTACTCCCAGGCTCTGCTCCCTGCTTGTCTCCTCTACTACTGGTCTCCTGCTCTCACTACTGCCATTCCTCTAGGCCCCATCTTTACTTGCACACCTGAGTTCCCTCCAGGACACATAGGCCTTATATGATACTGTCTAGCAAGTGATACCTACCTGTCTGTCCAGAGCATCCCTCTTAGGAGCCTGCAGAGAGCTGCATGGTGATCCACAGTGAGAGAGCCAGAAAAAGGAAATGAAACAGGAGAGCAGGGACAGTGAGGCGAGTAGTGGGGGTCTCACTCAAGAGGCTGTGCCACCTCCAGATGTCCTCAGGCCGCTGTCCAGACTCCAGGATGCTCAGCCCCCTGTCCAGGCCCCAGCTGCACATCTGGTAGACAGTTCTCAGAGAAGGCAGGAATCCAAAATCGCAGGCAGAAGGGGACCAACTATACCACTGATCTACCCCAAGACCTGGAGTATATCCCTGGGTCTCAGAGCCTCATTTGACATACTTGAAAAAATGGGTGTGCGTCCCTGCTCCCAGGACTTGGACAGAATTTAGGACAAAGGGGCGAAGGCCTGGCCTACAGCTGCCATCCCAGGAGGTACTATGGGTGGCTGCTGTCATCATGCTCAGCCTTTGCAGTCAGACCTCCTACCACTGAAGAGGCCTTGGAGGCTCTTCTTGGCCTTGTGCAGCTGGCTGTGGGAGGGGCAGATGAACATTCCTGCTCTGTAAGGTCCCTTCACAGTCTCGTTCTTCTTTTCACTCAGAGCCATCCGTAGCTGCTTTTGCCACAGAGTTTGTAGTGGAATGACAACGAGAGACTGGAGGCAGCGGTGGAGGGAAGTGCCTACAAGTGCGGACTCCCAGTCATGCTTAAGTCTAAATCAACCTGATGTCAGGAAAGCTGGCTTAGCCAGACTTAGAGGATGCAGGCATGCCAAACCCGGAAGTAGACAGCAGGGTGGAACTGTGAGTGGACTCACTGCCAACCTCCTGCCTGTTCAGAAAGACCTCTAGGTCCAGACGATGAGGTGGGTGAGGCATAGAGACAGAAGCCAACGCTTTCTGATGCTAGGTCCTCACAATATATACTCTAGGAAGCTGACTTTCCATTCCTGGGTGGTGTGGCTCAGGGAGGCTTGGGGGCTTCCTCAGGCAACAGAGTACTGAAAGACCTGGCACTGTCTTACTGGGCATCCTGGAGCTCAGTGACTTGCCTCTTCTGGCCTCTGATTTTGTTGTCTTTAAAGGAAGTGGTTTCCTCCACCAGGAACCCTCCTGACTCCCTACACAGCACCTCAGAAGGCCCCAGTCTCTCTGACCATAAAGTTGACACATTTTGTCCAGGTTGCTATGGTGTCCCTCTGGTTGGTCCTGCTCAGACCTGGCCTGTTTCCTCCTTATAGTCTGCATAGTTCCCAGGGGCTTGATGGAAGATTCCAGCTTAAACTTCCTGCTTCATTCCTGCCAGGTGACCCAGTTATCCCTAGGATGCAAAGGCCCCTGAGAGGTGAAGTAATTTGCCCCAGGGTCCCCAGCTAGTAGACTGAGATTTAAGCCCAGACTTCCTGTTATCTGTCTCCACAGTCAGATAGATCCCTACCTGACTCACACACCAATGAGAGAACATTGTTTTGGAGGGTGGGAACTTGGTTGGCCTATGGCAGGTAGCTGAAGAGCTACCCTCTACTTACAGTTCAAAGATCAAAGCAGGCCCTTGGCTTCCTTCCTGTAGGGAAGCCTGACTAGTGGCCACCATGTCTGCATAGGGCAGGAATTGCCTCATTCACAGTGGGGGAAGGACTGCAGCTTGTCCATAGCAGGGGCTCCATAGCATGCATATCCAGCAAAATGACTGTCCTCCTGCATGCAGACCAGTGTGAGGTAGTGACTCCTGCAGAAAGCCTCTTAAAGGCTGTCACTCGGCTCTGGAGGTACCCCTTATCACAGCCTGTCCCCACTGTCCATCCACCCCTCACAGTGGCTTGCAGCCTAGTCCCTGCTTCTCAGCCACAGGTACCATGACTTCTTCTATGACATCCAGGTAGGGTCAGCCCCTCCTACCCCGGGCTTGGGTCACAAGCCATAGCTGTCTAGGATTATGAGTCTTCCCTTTTACCTGTACCCCTGTCCACCACACATGAGCTTACACAGACATCCAAATACACACACACACACACACACACACACACACACACCAGCAGAGACCAGGTCCTGCTTGGCTAGTATGGTGCTCTGTTACCCTCAGACCAGCCAGTTCTAGAACACAGAAACTGACTCTTAAGCATCCTGTTCCAAGCATGCAGGTCTCTAAACCCACTTGTCTACTATCTGTCTATCCTTCCTTTTCCCCCTCCTCAATCCTCACTGCCAGCCAAGCTGGGACAGCTGTGACCCTCAGCCAACAACCCCTTCAGGGCCTCTACCTCAAGGGTATCCTTAGGCCTTGCTTAAAAAGCCACTCTCTGCTGCACTTAAGGACCCCCTTAGGCTCCCAAGCCCCCTGACTATGCCACTAGTCCAGTGTCTTGCAGCAGGCTCAGTGTCTGACATCTTAATTCCTGAAGAGTATAAGCCCTGGGAGATGCTGTAGCATAGCACCCTATAGAACATCCCCACTTTTCTGGGTAGGGGAACATGTATAGGAGCCCATATTCTGGGCCTGTGTATAATTATAGTAGCAGGAAAAGAAGTAAAAATGTGCCCAAAGCAAGGAGCAGAGTACCCATTGGGGTGAGAAATGGACCAGGTCATCTTGGGCTACTTCATTGCCAGCTGTGCCAGGACCTGATGGGCCAGCTTCATGGACTCAGCACATCTGCAGGACACTGCTGTCAATGGGCCAGTAGGCAGTGGTACTCAGAAGACAGAAGGCTAGACTCTGCCCACTGGGATAAGGGAATGTGCCTGGGCTCCCCACTATGGGCACAGGCTGGGTCTGCTTGGGCTGACTCTAGAACACATTTTACTGCTCAGTAGCTCTCAGTGACTGTGGACAGAAGGAAAGGAAGCCACTCTGATCCAGATGTGCAGCCTGGCCCTAGGGGTTCCACACAGCTCCACCCTCCAGAGCAGGACACATATCCTGAGAGTCAGTCACCTGCACAACTATTTTCAGACTTATTCATGTCATCCTTTGACAACAGGGCCTCCCTGAAGGTGAGCTGAGGGCTCGGATTTACAGACAGGAAATCAGAGGCTGAGGGCAGGAAGAAGCCTGTCTGCATCAGAGGACACTCCTCCCCTCCTTTCCCTGGACTCTGAATTGTCCACACACAGCCAGACAGGTGTCAAATGTACCATGCTCTGGCCTGTATATGGTCTGACGACCTAGCTAGTGAGACCACACCCTGGCGGGATGGGGAGGGCACACTTAACCCTGTACTGCTGCCCCAGACACCTTCCTGTGGCCCTGGCCTCCCAAGCAGGGCCAGTGTGGTGTATCTGGTGGACGTCTAGCTTCTGGCTCTGCTTCTGCAGCAGTTTGCTCAGCATGAAGCTTCCTGGTGCTGAGTATGTACTTCTTCCCAGGGCCGGAATTGTCCTGGTCAAGTGTCAGTAGGTAGAGACCATTTCCTTTCTTCAACTAACTTCTTGGCCCACTTCCCTCTGGGGCGGGGAGTACAGACACAGAAGGGAAAATAAGGAAACTACCTGCTGTGGGAGTGACAATTTTGCTGGGACAATAGGAGCCAACTGGTGCCTTTGGGCGCAACAGGTTGGCAAGAGATTTGTAATGTTTCCCATCTGCGTCTGCAGTGGGCTTGGTTTCTGCTACATGCCTGTGTTCTCAGCAGGCTTTGGGTGACAGCTGAGAGACTTAAAATTTGGGGTTCTCAGAGGACTTCAGGGTGCCAGCCAGGAGTGGTCCTTTTGCAGTAAGTCAGCGGGTCAGTGGCAGGAGGAGCAGGAGTAGATCCAGCAAGTCTGGAAGCTGGAATTCCAGATCTGTGGTGGCTGAGGCAGGAATGAGTTCCCCCCTGCTTACTAGCCTTTTCCTGCGGTCCTGGAGGCTGCCTCTAGGCAACTCCCTTTCCTGTCTGACTGTCTTCTCTCCTCCTTGTCCATTGTGCTCTCACTAAGTCCTCTGTTTGTACAGCTCTGGAAGGTCAGATTGATGTGGTGTCAGCTAGGCCCTGATTGGATGAATGTGTGCATACAAAATAAGGTTAGAAAGAGGACCAATCAGGGCAGAGCTGTAGTTGTCTTTGCAGATTGCTTGCTGCTTTTCCAGCCTAGTAAAACCTGGGGGCTCTGGCTGTCAAGCTGGGGCACTATTGCAGCTGAGATTTATGGCTTCCTTGCCCTCGGGGACCCCTCCTACCCCTAGCTCTGACTTAGCTGTCCTTATACCTAGGCAGGCCATGCAGAAGAGAGAGAGAGAGAGAGAGAGAGAGAGAGTTTGTGACACACTTGCTGAGCTGTAGGAGCAGGACTCTGATTTGGTGCAGGTGGGTGGACCTTCCACAGGCCTGGACACAGTAACCATGGCCAAGCATTAGGATCCCTACTTGTTACCTGTCTGCAGCTTCCATGAGGATGAGCAGGCAGAGAGTCTGTTGCTGTGTGGTGTAGTTCATGTTTGCACAAGTATCTATAGGTTATTCTGGCAATTGTGTCTCCAGCACCCACAGAAGCCTCTCCGGTGCCAGCCTGGGATCTAGGCAGTTGAGTGAAGGGTTTGGAACTAGACAAGACAGATGTCATTTTGAACTCTGAAGTCACACCCATGCTGCGTAGGAGATCCAGGGGATGGAGTAGGTAAACAGAGTTGGTAGGATATGGAACACCTTTTAAAAAACCCACCTCCTCCTGCTGCTCCCCCTGCTCCAGAGGTCGAGCAGTCATGAGCATTCTTCTTGTCCATCCTACCCAGGAAGCCTGAAAAGGGCATCCAGTATCTCATTGAGCGCGGCTTCGTGCCCGACACGCCAGTGGGGGTGGCCCACTTCCTGCTGCAGCGCAAGGGCCTCAGCCGCCAGATGATCGGTGAGTTCCTGGGAAACCGGCAGAAGCAGTTCAACCGTGATGTGCTCGAGTAAGTCTGGGGGGTCAGGGCCCCCTTCCACATGCACAACATACTGTTAGCCATGAATCCCTCACATGCACATCACCTACTCGTGTGCAACATCAGGCTTGCAGTTTGATGGGACATAGAGTTGCCTCTTGCTTTCCTGGGATGGGTTCTAAACCCCGAGATGCTCAGGGTACTTCCTAAAATGCCCATCTGTCATTTGTCAAACATCTTCCTGCAGACTTCAGTATCACACACCTACTGATTACCCCCATATGATGCCAATGCTCTGTAGGCAGATGTGGACAAAATTTGTTTTTCTACTATTTGGGGCGTATAGTTGGTGAATCTGAAGTTGGAGGACTTGGCGTGCCTGAACCCCACCTCTGCCACCCAGTCTTATTTGTCTGATCCAATACCCCATGCCATTTCTTACATCCTTACCCTGCTATGTACACATTGACAGCTGTACCTAATGTAGACTCCACCCCACTCCACCCAGAGCCTCTTGCCATCACACATGACCTTCAGGTAACCCACATCTATGTGGTCTCTTTGATCAGACAACTGTCCATCCAACTATGCCTAACCCATAATCTCACTTTCCCGGTGGGCAGCACTCAGCCACACTCCAACATCCCTGAAAGCTAGAGTATATGACACTGGGCTATGGGAAACCCTGCAGAGAGGAGGACTCCTGGGCCCATCCTCCAGCTGCTTCCTGTTGTGAGTAATGCTTCCCAGGGTTTATTGTCTCTCCTAGCAGAAGGGCACACAATTTCTCTACTGTGTCTCTGCCCTGAAGTACACAGGTGGGTCGGGATAAGAGCAGTCCTCAGTGCAATGGCCTGCTAGCTATCTCTGCTAGGATTGCCCCCAGTTCTATGACTACTGAGATTTTACAACTGGCAGAAATACTGAAGTACTGAGCCCTGAGAGAAGTCAGTATTGAGGAGGGTGCACATAGTTACCCCTGCCATTGCTTAGCCATGTGCTTTGCAGAGGACAACAGCAGCTGGGGAGCAGAGATGAAACAGGCTCACCAGCATGGGTGTTCTGCAGTGTCCTGCAGTGTGGTCTCAGGCAGTTTGGCAAGGACTACTGCCCCTGCCCCTCCATCTCAGAGAGGTGCTGGCCAACACTGTGCCTTTTTCCACACAGGACACCAGGTATGAGGGGTGGGCCTGGGTCAGATATACCCACACATGTACTCATGCAGAAACCCTTTCTGCACTTACACATGTGCACATAGACGTGACCAGACACACAGTCAAAGGACTAAAGCTTTGGTGCCTTTCAACCAAGAGCATGCAGCAGACCTCTGCAATGATCCTCATGGTTCTTTCCCTTCCTCTCACTATTGAGCATGGAGATCAAGGTGGAGGGAAAGCAGCTCCATTGCCACAGCACTGTCGGTCCCCACTGCCCACCCCCCACCTACTGAGTTTCTGGTCTCAGGAAATCCTTGCATTGTTCTTCTCCCATTAGAAAATAGCACTGGCCTCAGGAAGTGGCCAGGCCCCCAGCCTGCCTCCTGGAAAGAAGCTGAACTGCCCATATTTTGCCTGCCTGCTGCCCTACTTGGGCCCCAGGATGGGCCAGGGAGTGGAGACAGGTCCCTGGCTGATGACACCACCATAGTCCACTCTAGCTTTGTGGCTACAGCTGCTTTCAGAGGTGACATGGACACCAGGCCATCCTGGGAAATGCCTCCCAGGCCCCATCCTCTCTGCTCAGTCCTCATCACAGAGAGACTGGAGAGTGTACTGGTCTCCCCTCCTGTCCTGCTCCTGCACACTAGGATGACTCAGTGTCCAGTGTGGCTCTTGAGAGGCTCCTACCAAGCCCTCCACAGAAGAGCAAGACTACTGCCAGGCACACAGCCTATTCTGGCACCTGAGGGCTCTCTTCCGGGTCCATCCCCTGTGTACCCATGGAATACATGAACTATGGTGCTGATCTCTCCATAGGAAAAGAGCCTCATATTTGTGCTCCTCTGTGGAAAACACCATGCATGCATGGAGCATACGTCTCCTAAAACTTTGGGGTCTCTGGATGCCTCAGAAGCCTGGGGATCTGAGGAGCAGGCTTTCCAGAGGCAGTCTGTCTGTCCCCATAGATCCAAGAATCCTTAGTTTTTGAGACCCCATCATGTGACAAAACTGGATGTACTACCCCATGGGCCTGACCACTTTCACAGGCCATCCGTCTCTGTTCCAGCTGTGTTGTGGACGAGATGGACTTCTCTGCCATGGAGCTAGATGAAGCCCTCCGGAAGTTCCAGGCACACATTCGAGTCCAGGGGGAGGCTCAGAAAGTGGAGCGGCTCATCGAGGCATTCAGGTCAGGCCCTGTGTGGGGTAAAGTGGGATACACCACTTTAGTAGAGAGGGACATGCCCCTCTTAGCTGTGCGGGGATTCAGGGACACATCAGAACAGGTATCCATGCGTAAGTGGCTCCCTGTATCCCAGGCACTAGACTGGGCCCCTGGCTCCTGGCAGTTGTAGTTTGGAAGGACAGACCTTATTCTGATTTTTCAGATGAGGAAACTTAGGCTCAGAGGTTAATGTTTCCTCTGCTAGCATTTTGATCACTCTCTCAAAGTTCTCTGGCTTTCCGGAGATAGCTTTTCATTCCCAGGCCTACAGTGCCTCATGGTGACCCATGACAAGCTATAAAGCCATGTGTCCTAGGCTACTCATTGAATCTACCACTTCCCTGCTGTGTTACTTTATAAAGATTACTTAACTTCTCTGTGCCTCCCTTCCCCTACCTGTGTGGTGGGGAAGGCAGTAGCACTTCAATGGGTGGAAGGATTGAGGGACCCGTGTAGCCCAGCACCTGGCACAACAGTGAAGTTGTAGTCATTCCCTCGTGGCAGTGTGCAGACCTGCCATGTTGGGGCCTCCATGCTTGAGGCTTGGTATAGCAGGCTCCTATTCACTGTATCCAGCTGTAGAAGTGGGGTGAGGAGGAGTGAGGATGTGGAAGGTAGACCACTCTGGGGTGTCTACCCAGGAGGAATTGCTGCTATGCTGCTTATGGGCATTGTCTGCTCTGTCCCTGCCCGTTCATGGAGTCTCCAGTAGACTGTGTGGGAGGATGGTGTGATAATGAGAGGGGCAGAGCAAGTGACTAGACTGTGGGGTCATAGTGAAGGGAAGCTGGCTTCCTTCCCATGGCCCTAGATGACCAACGTCACCCTCACTGAGATGTCCCCACTCCAGGCAAGAGAACGAGGGACACGGCCTTGGAAATTTACGTGCCAGCCTGTCCCATAGGTGAAGTACATCCCTACAACAGCACCTGGATCCCAGGGAGCTGTCGTTCCCGGGCAGTCAGCAATCTCAGTGGGATGAGGGTGGGAGAGGCTGGTGTTAAGACAGTTCCCGTGCAAGGCTTAGGTGATCCTAACCAGCTCCCTGTCCTCCCAGCCAGCGGTACTGTGTCTGCAACCCTGGAGTGGTACGGCAGTTCCGGAACCCAGACACCATCTTCATCCTGGCCTTCGCCATCATTCTGCTCAACACAGACATGTACAGCCCCAATGTCAAGCCTGAGCGCAAGATGAAGCTGGAGGACTTTGTCAAGAACCTCCGAGGTGAGCCAGGAGCAGGACATCCTGTCACCTAGCCTTGCTCTCCTGCCCTGAGGACTCAGACACACTGAGAGGATCACGTATATCTGAGATCTGGGTTCAATGAGCCCTTTAGAGTGGAGTGTAGCCTGTGCCATACATGCCCTTCACCACAGGGGGAGCAGTGTCTGCTTGTTCCAAGGGCAGAGAGGACCTTCCTTCTGTGGACATTTACCTAATGGATGCATTTTGAAAGGGAGCCCTCTCTGCCTTTCCTGTCAGCATGGTGTTTGCTTACAGAGGTAGTGGTAGGAAACCCCATGTATTGTCAAGGAAGTAGAATATTGCTTCCCAGCTGGAGAGATGCTGCCTTTGGCTGCAGGTGAGACCATCACTGGAGGTAGTGTGTATATTACCTAAAGAAGCAAAGCAGGCCCACTTTATCAGATTCTTGAGTGCTTACTGTGGCTGTCATCTGTCCCCCTGTGCAGGAAGATGCTCCTGGATGGTACTCTCCAGTTCCTATGAACTTTTATGGTATCTTTACTCACTGTAGCAGAAAGGCTAGGAACACCCCACATCCCCTGGGCAGTGGCCCCAGCTTAGATCTAGACACACACCAATGGTTCCTGCAGATTCTATGGGGGAGGGGGAATAGTGCTGAGTGGGTCAGGGCCAGAGTCCTCATTGCATGAAGCCTGTGGTTGCGTGTTGACCAAGGAAGCTTATGATTCCTAAGGAGTTGTACCACCAGGAGGGAGACAGAAGGCAGAAGTGCAGGGACACCCTCCCGAGGCCCAGGTGGTAAGGCAGAAGCCAGGGTGCTAGTGGCTGCCTCTGCTGCTGGCCACAGGCCCTGTCTTTCCCAGATTCTCTTGCTGGACCAAACTAATTTTTGTGGTGACCCTTGGTTGAAAAGCCAGAACTCTTTTCCTGGAGGAAGAAGACTCCAAGAGGTACAGGGTGACTGGGTGAGATGTTTGAGGTCAACCATCTTCAAGGCAGTGCCTGAGTCTCTCTCTCTTCTCTCTCTCTCTCGTTGTTCCTCTCCCCCTTCTCCCTTCCCCCTCCCCTTCCCCCTTCTCTTTCCTCCCTCTCCCTTTCTCAATGTGGACCCAGCTGTTTGGGATAAGAGTAGTGTTGTAATCCAGCTAGGCAGAGTAGGGCTGAGCACCCCACTCCTAGGGAAGCCATTGCTCCATCAGCTCTAGCTACCTCTTTTCCGGTCAGGAGCTTGTGTATCTTTGGTCCCATCTGACCTGTGCTTCAGAGGGAACTGAAGGCTTATAGGGAGTGATAGGCCCAGAGTCACAGTAGGTGATTGATAGGGGCAGGACAGGGTCTAGTCCTAAGTCAGGGAGCTTCTGAAGGAGGCAACCCCCCAGCACATGTTTCCTCAACAGTTTTCCTCAGTTTACCCAACAGTGCGAGTAGCAGGGAGGCCCTGTGGTGTTCAAAAATGGTGAAGGGGACTTGTTCAACATCTTGGAGGCTTCAACTTTTGTGTTTTTCTTTAAATTACATTTTATGTATTTGTGTGAATGTGTGTCCGAGTGCTCAGAGGTGGTAAGAAGAAATCAACTCTCAGTCCTGAGGAGACCTGTGTTGCTAAGGCATGTGTATGGAGGTCAGAGAACAATTGAGGGGAGTCGGTTCTCTCCTCCCACCCTGTGGGTCCCAGGCATCAAACTTAGGCCATCACTTATCCACTGAGCCATCTTGCCAGCCATAATCTATCTTTGAAAAACAGAAAGTGAAAGTTTCTCCAGTGTAGCCCCTGCCTTACCAAGGCCACATCTCTGAGGGTCTTGGCCTGAGCAGAGCCCTAGGAACTGAGCCCATCTGTGGAGAGCATCTGTTCTCATTATGCTGTACCTCTTTGGTTCTTGTCTGAGGAGCACACAGTAAGGTGTCTGAGTGGCTGATGTAGGAAGTGGGTGGGAACTTGGTCACTCAGCCTTTGAGAGGAAAACAGCAATGCCACCACTAGGCTGGTATGTGTCTCTTCTCCCATGACACAAGCTCCTCAAAAGCAGTCAGTGGAGAAGAGGAGGTTAGAAGTGCTGATTCTGGTGGGCATGTTCTATGGGAGGTCACAGTCCTCACAGTCCCGGTCCTGTGCAGGCTGAGGAAGTTTGCTACAGGGAGCCTGCTCTCTATCCTTAGGGTTGATTTGCTGCAGAGAGCCTGCTCTCCTGAGCGTTTCTCTTCCCCCCAAAATTTTTACTGTAGGGGAAAAGGTGGTTTATGTGCTTGGGGTTATAGTGGCCTAGTTATAGTCTGGCCTAGCCTCTTCCATGGGATGGTGACACCAGAAGTAGCCACAGCTCTGTTGAGGTTGCTAGACACACCATGAGCCTCCCTCATTTCTCTGTGACAAGCCCATGTATTAACCGATGCTCTTAATGATTCAAAGAACACCAAACCCAAGAGACTGGGTCACTTACCCATAGCTATGAGGTGTGAAGGGACATGAAGAGGACTTAGCTTCAAATCTCTCAGAGCCTGAACTCACACTTCAGGCCACATAACCTGTGCACAGTAGCCCAATGGTTCTCAACATGTGGGTTGTGACCCCCACAGGAGTGGCTTATCAGATATTTACATTACATTACCAACCAGTATTGATATTACCATTCATAACAGTAGCAAAAATACAGTTATGAAGTAGCAGCAAACATAACTTTATGGGTCCTCACCACCACATTGAGGATCTGTATTAAAGGTTCGTAGCATTAGGAAGGTTGAGAGCCACTGCCCTAACCTCACCTGTGGAGTTGGACCCTTTGTGGCAATGTCACAGGCTTTGCTTCATTTGTAAAACATGTCTACAAAGGCCTGTGGACATGGCGTAGAAGGTAACGCAGCCCTGTTCTGTGATCTGCTGGTTCTGGTGGGAGGACTCAAGAAGACCCACAAGCAGGGACCTCGGAAGGTCCCTTCCAAGACCAGGAAGAGGTTTGCTCTCCTAGTTCCTGCTAGAAATGTGTGAATCCAAGGTCTGCTTGGGGGCCCCAAACTGAATGGAAACTCTGTTGCCCAAACCCAGCCACTCTCATGCCTCCTCACTTTCCCTTGACCAGGTGTGGACGATGGTGAAGACATTCCCCGGGAGACGCTGATTGGGATCTATGAGCGGATCCGTAAGCGGGAACTGAAGACCAATGAGGACCATGTGTCCCAGGTGCAGAAGGTTGAAAAGCTCATCGTGGGGAAGAAACCGGTATGCATTGGGCCCGATCCTCTACCCCTTAATGCAATCCTGGATCAGTTCAGTCACCACTGGAAGGACCCTCCTGGCCTGGAGCATTTTCTGAGTAGTTCCTCTGGTGTTTAAGAATTGGAGCTGCCCACCTGAGAACATGAGGCCTTGGTGACTAATGGGCCACAGTGGCTTGTGGTCTGTGCCTGCTCAACACTGGCCTAAGGATGCCCTTAGATCCTCCAAGAGACCACAGAGAGCAGGGCCTCCTTTTGGTAGTACTCCTGGGCAGCCTGGTAGGTGGAGAGAAAAGCAGGTATTCTGGGCAGAGGGAGGGACACAAACTACAATTGAGAATGGGAATGTCAATTTAGTTTTTGTGGTTTTCCTGCAGATCGGATCCCTGCATCACGGGCTTGGCTGTGTGAGTATTTCTTTGTTCTTTCTCTGATCTCCAGTTCCTCTCTTATACCAAGGTGCTGCTACAGAGTCCAAATTTCCACAGAGAGCTGAATCTCAGTTTCATAATTATCCAGCCTCTTACTTCTGTGGGTCCTGAGACCTTAGGCATACAAGGAAGTGATGGTGGCTGAGAGGACTTTTATGTGACCACCATGGACCTTACTGCCTCCCCCACTCCTTTCCCTGCCCCTCACTTCATTCCTTCACTGTCCCAGCCACCCTATGTTTGACTATCCATGTGTCCCAGAATATACAAACAGGCACATCCCTGAAGGTCTCCATTATACCCACCTACCTGTCCTCAGCCCTCCCAGGACAGCCCTATCTCAGACTGCCCAAGGAAAGACTCAGCACCCTATTCTCTTGCCCCCTGAAACCTACACCTTCCATCTGCCCTCATACTGAGCTTCCTGAGCATGCCAGATTGGCCACACTGTCTGTCTCTCCCCAAAATGAAGTATTGAACTTAGCGGTTCCACCAAGCAGCTGACAGATAGCTGACTTCCTGTGAGCAGGCCCAAACCGTCTGTGTCCTGTGAGAGCTAGGACTCCTAGAGTAATGCTGGGCCTTGCTAATGGTGTGCCCCTGCTACCCCAGAATACTGGCTTACAATTTGGCCTGGAGGGTGATAGCTTGGCTATGGTAAAGTTGTGGGGATGCTCCTATGACTCAATGGTGATATGTGCAGAGTACAGGACAAGGCCCTGACCAGCAGGCATTAGAAGGCATCAGAGGGGTAGGGTTTTGGTAGATGTCTTTGGGGATTCAAATCAGAACAAGACTCTGTGGTGTCCTGTAGCAACTTCCAATTCTACATGCCTCAGTTTCCTCATCTAGAGAGGACTCTGGGAAGGTTGTCTGCAGAAACAGCACCAGTAAAAGAAGGTGCTTTTGGAGGAGTCAGAATATATGACTTCATCTCTGGCCATGAGTTCTCTGTGGTGTGTTAGGGAGGGAAGGGGGTGTAGCAGGCACAGGTGCTATTTAAATCCTGCAGGAGAGCAGAGGTCAGGAATCTTAGAGTGCTTTTGGGGATGGTGATAGAATATTCCCTCCCATCCAGACCCCCTAGGGCAGGTGACCATAGTCACATGTCTTTCCCTGCACAGGTGCTCTCTCTTCCCCATCGACGACTGGTCTGCTACTGCCGGCTTTTTGAAGTTCCGGACCCCAATAAACCCCAGAAGCTGGGACTGCATCAGAGAGAAATCTTCCTGTTCAATGACCTCCTGGTGGTATGTGGTGTTGGGGGCTATCAGGGCCCAGATGTCCTTATGCCCATGCCTGAGCAAAGGCTCTGGTCCATAGTAATTCAGTTCAAGAGAGAGGCTCTGACTCACCAATGAACAGGGGTGTTCCTTGTTCCATGTGAACATCAAGGGTGCCAGACTCCAGAGAACCTCAGTGTTGAAGGACTCTTCACCCTGAGCACTGCAGGCCCCTTTCCAGGAGAGCTCCACATAGCTACAGATCCCATAAAACTAAGACTTCTAGTGGAACAATCTCCAGCCTACATATGGCATTTCCAAGTGTATCACAGGTACTGGGCAGTGTAGCACTCCATCAGGCTCAATAGGTCACACACACCCAAGCTGGCAAGAAAGTGCTTCCCTACCTCAAGTAGGATTTCTCTTCTAGTTTGCTTTCTATGTGGTAATAAACACCACGATCGAAAGCAACTTAACTTGATGAGGAAAAGGTTTAGTTTAGCTTAGTTTGTTGTAAAAGAATGGGCTGCTTTTCATCCTGCCCGGCTCCCGGCCGCCTGGCTAGCTTTACCCGAAATAAGTACACAGAAACTGTATTCATTTAAACACTGCCTGGCCCATTGTTCCAACCTGTTATTGGCTAACTCTTAACATATTTGTTTAACCCATTTCCATGAATGTGTATTGCCACTGGACTGTGGCTTACCGGCATGAGTCTAACCAGTGTCCATCTCAGAGAGGAGCGCCATGGTGTCTGCCTGACTCTGCTTTCTTTCTTTCTCCCAGCATTCTGTTCGGTCTACTCCACCTATCTAAATTCTGCCCTATCAAAAAGCCAAGGCAGTTTCTTTATTTAACCAATGAAAGTAACACATAGAAGACCCTCCTACACCATAGTTCACGAAAGGAAGTCAGGGCAAGAACCAAAACAAAGCAGAGACCATAGAGAAACACTGCTTACTGGCTTCCTCAGTTTGCTCTCTCATACAATCCAGGACCACCTGCCCAGGGGTGGCCCTCCTGCCTCAATCAAGAAATGCCCCATTGACTTGCCTACCAGCCACTGTAATACAGGAGCTGTCTCAATTAAGATTCTTTCTTCTCAGATGACTCTAATATGTCAATATGTCATAAGCTAACCAGCACAGTTACCACACTGACTGGCTTCTGGTCTCTATGATAGCAATGCCTGTTGTGATGGACAGATACCTCAACTCAGGCATGAAGGTTTGAACCCTTGAACAAGTCATCCCAACTCTTAAGTGTCTTCATGTGTAGAGAGCTTCTTTCATGGGACAGGCTTTCTGCTGGTCTGGAGGCGATGGTCTTGCTGTTAGGAACGGCTCTGAAATCAGCACCACTTTGCCTTAGCTGCCCATTTTCAGGCATGGGCACCGGGCCCTCTGTGTCTTTTGCTTTGGTGTTAGCTGTGATGGCACAAGGACACCAGCCTCCCCACAGACACTGCAGCTTCACTCCATATCTGCTGCCCTAGGTCACCAAGATCTTCCAGAAGAAGAAGAACTCGGTGACATACAGCTTCCGGCAGTCCTTCTCCCTCTATGGAATGCAAGTCCTGCTCTTCGAGAACCAGTGTGAGTCCCTGGGACCTGTGGGATGTGAGAGAGCACTTTCCCCCCTTGTCCCTGTCACCTCCAGCTAGGATGCAAGCCTTCTGGGTACACATTCTGTCCTTCTCAGGACAGACTAGATGAAAAGAGTAGTACTTTCCCAGGGACCAGGGTTTGACCAGGCAGAAGTGGGTTTATCTGTGGCATGTCCAAGAGAAGCATTCAGTGAACTGGGAGCTCAGCCACCTGTAATGTGGGCACAGTACTGCCTACCCTATAGGAACCCCCACAGTGGCTCTCACAGTGTAGTAGTTGAACCCAGAGCTGGCTCCTGCCTCTTGAGCTGTTGTTATTGCTTAGGTCTGACCCCTTCTCCCCAGCCTGCTTCCTGTTTCTCCTTTGTCTCTTCGGTCAGAAGTCCCCAAGCTGGGACAGTTGCTCTGCTTAGTGTGGCAGGGCTGAGGTGCTTGTAGTAGTGTGGACCCCTTCTTGTCTCAGCACAGGCTGGTACCATCTTCTGATCAGCCTTCCAGAAACCTGCAGGTTCAAAAACTCACCACAGTTGACTACCAGAAGCACAGTCCTAGCAGCCTGCATTGAGGCTTTCAGCCCTCTTGTTCCTCAGACTGAGGGATAGAAAGATGCTTGTCCTGTCTCCTCACAGCCCTTTCTTACCTTGGTGCCAGCAAAGTTTGCATCAACTCAGTCTGCTCAGGCCAGGGACCTAGTGGGCCCAAGAGTGAAGCCAGGCTGTGAATGCTGATGATCGTATGTCATATGCCCCCAACTCAGATACCAGGTGACAGCACCAGCTCCTGCAGTGGGAGTGCCTCACTCGGTACATCCTATGTGGTGGTCATATGTCATATGCCCCCAGCTCAGATGCCTGGTGACAGCACCAGCTCCTGCAGTGGGAGTGCCTCGCTCAGTAAATCCTTTGTGATTTGAACAATTTAAAGTTGCTGCGTCTATATCTAGATTTTCACATTAGATTTAGATACCTTGGGCTTCAGCTTGGTGTCTCTCAGCTCTCTTTCCAAGTGCTCAGGGAGATGCTCATCAGAGGCCTCTACTTCCAAGAAAGCCGAGCCACTGAGAGAGATTGTTTGATACAGGGTAGGGGACATGGCACCCCTAAGGGCGCCAGCCATGACTGAAAGTCTTTCAGGAATAAATGGCTGTTGTCCAGAGTGTCGTGGGGGAAAGGATAAGACACCACACAGCTGAGGATGCCACTGTCTTCCAGGACTTGGTGACTGGTAGTGACCATGGGCTTTGGGGTAAGCTGAATATCTTGGGGAGAAGGCCATTTCCTGCTATGGTTCTGCCTCTGTAGAGGCCACTTCAGGGCCCATCCCAAGGTACACCATCCTTGTTCTCTGGCCAGTGGACCATACAGTGACTGCTGACTCCATGGCCCTTCCTCTCCTCCCCTGCAGACTACCCCAATGGCATCCGGCTGACGTCTGCTGTCCCTGGAGCAGATATCAAAGTGCTAATAAACTTCAACGCTCCCAATCCTCAGGACCGGAAGAAGTTCACTGATGACCTGCGGGAGTCTGTTGCTGAAGTGCAAGAGATGGAGAAACACCGGATAGAGTGTAAGTCCCAAGCAGGACATTGAGAGGCACTCCATAACTCCTAAGTCTCAAGAGGTCTTCCCAGGGAGCCTTCCTGTTAGGTGCCAATGACAATGTTCAGAGGTGGTTGGTGCCAGGACTCCCTGAGACCCAGCAATGAGTTATCCAGGCCTTTGTCTCCTCAACAATGTGCCAGGGCAGTCCTTGGGGAGCCATCCTTCCCCTCAGCATACTGCTTGCCTTAGCCTAACCCTTGTTTCTGGTCACTGTGGAGTTGAGTTTATGCCATTCTTATTCTCATTCTAGTCCAGTGACTGTTGGGGCCCTAGCTCTACGTCTCCACAAACTTGCAATGCCCTACCTATTTCTCTGACTCCTCTCTCAACACAGGCCTAACTTGCAGCCCTCCTGAGCCTAAACATGCTAGCTATTCTTTGTTATCACGGGCAGCTGGCCTCCAGGCACTGCCTAGAGCTCATTTCTTGTCCGGGATGCTATGATGCCCCGCTTTTCCAGGAATCTCCTCCCCTATCCCAGGAGTTAGGGCCCGGGACAGTGGCCACTGCCTCTCACTGGTCCTCCTGCTCTGTTCCAGCGGAGCTCGAGAAGCAGAAGGGTGTCGTGCGGCCCAGCATGTCACAGTGCTCCAGCCTCAAAAAGGAATCAGGCAACGGAACGCTGAGCAGGGCCTGCCTGGATGACAGCTATGCCAGTGGCGAGGGCCTCAAGCGCAGCGCCCTCAGCAGCTCCCTGAGAGACCTCTCAGAAGCGGGTAAGAGCTGAGCTGAGAAGCAGCCTCTCAGCCGGTGCATGCAGGACTAAGGCCTGGCATCCATGGGCAGGCATGGTGCTGGAAAGGGCTGCTCAGGCATGGACACAGTTCTCTTGGAGGTCCATGAGCATCCCAGGACTGTAGCGGAACACAAAAGTGTCCAAGGGACAGTCTGGGCAAGACAGCTAGGGATGGCACCCCATTTCCTACTTCTCCCGGGGTCTTTATCACTCCCTCCCCGTCCCCATATCTATCGCGCTAAGGCTAAGAGCATCAGGCTGGTGCGTCCCATGTGCTCTCCACTGCTGTGTGTTCTATGCTAATGAATGAAATGGAACGAAGCCTACTGTCTGGGAACCCCCTTTGCCACTGTCCTGGTTTTGCTTCTTGTAGGGCTCTTTTCCTGAGAATTCCAGGCCTCTGTCTAGCCTAAAGCCACTGCCACCGTAGGTGTATGGCAGAGTGTGGGGAAAACCTGGTGGAAGCTGTTCACTGTCAGTGGTATTTCCTTATTTCTATAGTTTAATTTGCCATTTAGCCCCAGAAAGCAGGAACCCTCAACCGCGTAGATTTCTTAGAGGTAGAGAGTATTGTGAGCCTCAGGAAGATGCTACCAGTGCACTCATGCAGCCTTGGAGTGGGAGTGGAAGCAGGTGCTGTCAGAGCAGCAGCCCCTTAGCTACCACAAGTGTCTCACCAGTCAATGTGCACAGAGCAGTATGGCCTCGATCCTTCTGTGAGGTGGGGCCCTCAGCCTGCCCAGCACTCCCTCCCAGCCCTCCCACCACAGCTCTGCCTCATACTGCTTCCTCATTCCTTAGGAAATTGTTTTATCCTCTTTGAGTTTCCTTTGCTTTTGTCATTTTTTTTCCCATAATGAGAATCCGATACCACCAGCATGAGGGTTTAAGCCAGGGCTTCTCAACCTGGGCACTGAAGTCACTCTGGGGCAAATGACTGCCTGCCATTGAACTGTGCCTGCTTCACTGAGGCCAGCAGCACCTTCTCAGTCATGACAGCCTGTTGCATCTCCAGAAATGCCAGGTGTCAAATCACCCCTGGTTGAGAACCACTAGCTTCCCAGTGGCCTGTTCAACCCAGCCCATGTCACTCGACTGCTTGGGCCCTGGGGTGGTTTGAGTCTGTGCAGTAGCCCTGCTGTGACTGAGACCCAGGGCAGCAGGCTCAAGGATCAGGTAGAATTACCTGCCTGGTTGCATCCCTGCAAGGATGGAGCTCCTTGATGCAGCTGCTCTCTGAATTGTTACTGGTACTTTCCTGACAAAGTCAAGGATTTCAGGGACAGAAAACTCAAGCATCTGAGTCCAGACCAAGACTACCTGTGATGTCCAGTGAAGCAGCATCTTATCCTGGAAGACATTGGCAGGGCACCTGGAGAGGCAGGATTCTTGACCTGGGCAACAGTTCCCAACAGGCAGCCAAGTTGTCCTCACTCTCCACTGTGCCCCTGTGCAAAGCCTGAGGTGATGGCGGTCAGGTGCACTGTCTCATGAAGATGCAGGCCTTTGCCATTATATTGGGGCAGCGTGCCTGAGAGCAGCCGCCTTTAACCCATCCCACCACAGACAAGGCCTGACCCAGCCATAGCCTGGGATAGCTCACAAGCAAGCCCATCTATAGACACCTCTCTTTGGGAGAGGGAAGGAGACCCAGCTTGAGGCCTGTCCTCTTTCCTGGGCCACAAGAGCCAGGGCCTATCAGACGACACTGTAGTAGCCATGCCCAGCCTGGCTCTCCCCAGCTAAAATGACTAGCACCAAGTTCCCACGGAGACTTCGTATCCTGTACCAGGGCAGTCCGTCTGTGAGAACCCACGGCAGGTAAACAGCTGCAGCGCCTACTACACAATGTCCAGTAGGGACTGGGCAGCATGGGTTCTGGAGTCAGTTGCCTGAAGCTTATGCCATTACTCTGCTCCATTCTTGAACAGGCAGGCCTTGGCCTCAGTTTCCCCAGCTGCACTGACAAGTCAATGCCTGTGAAGAATTTAAACTGGCCTGAAATCCTCATCAGTGAGTGAGGTTTGAGGGCCACGGTGCAGGAAGGAGAGCTCGTCCTCCCTCTGAAATGAAGCCAAGGAATTGAGAAATATATGAGACCCTTTGAGATGAACCATGCAGACCAGGCAGGGGTGAGCCTGTGCACCCAGCATGCCTTACTCCCATTGACTGAATGTTTGAACAGGCTTGTGGTGGTGCAGCAGTGAACACACAGCTTGCTCTATAATTGATTGTGGAGAGAGCTGAGAAGTGAAAAAATGAAATTGAAGACACTACAGCCTCCACTGGGCAGTGCAGCCGCTTCTCTGCTCCAGTTCGGGCTACAGGATACAAGCCATCCCATCTTTTCTGGGGAACCCAAGACATGGGAGGGGCTTGAGAGCCTGTCTGAAAAATGCCAGCAGGGAAGGGATGCTCTTCATGCATGTGTGGTACCACAGTCCTGATCACTCCAGAGAGCAGTTTGGAGTCAGGAAATAGCCATCTCAGAAATGGCAAAACAGGCCAAGAGCCTAAGCAGTAGTGGGTGTACCCTTTGTGCTCACAGTCTACTTCTGTCATGGCCTGGACCTCATTGGGAAGCCTCTTTTGTACCTGCAGTTGGGGAAAAAATCTTTCTTCTCACCAAAGGAAGGGACCATTCTACTGGGGATACCGAGCAGCTGATATCTACACGGCGTCATGGCCCTCTTTTCCCTGACCCAGATTCTACCGTGAATCTGGGGCTTAGGGGCAGCAGGCAAAGAAGGCACTAGATCTACTCCTCCACATCTGCATGTCCCGACTGGTCTCAGTGGTTATGTAAGCGGAAAAGCCCACAGTTGTGTCCAGTTCAGTCTGCTTTGAGGTACAGCAGCTTTCAGGCCCTGCTGATAGGCCGGGTCACCAGACAGGCACACAGCAGCCTCTTCATCTTCCAGTGCCCACCAGCTCTCCTTGTGGGTGGAGGTAGCCCATGCCTGGTCTCGGCCTTGGAGCTTCCCTCTGACACAGACAGCCTGGTACTCAACTCTCAGCTAGTGCTGCACCCACAGAAGCTTACAGGAGATCCTGCACCCTCATACAAGAAGTCAAGGAGAGACTTCTGAAGGGACCACTGAGGCATGAGTGGGCTATTGGAAGGCCTAACCTCCCTTTGACGTAGCCAGCATATATTGATGGGTGGGTACCTACCATATTCTGTGTCCTCATTGTAGACATTTTGGAGTGCATTGTAGTATTCTGGGTAGGAGAGCTAGATTCAGGAGGCAGGGCACTGCACAAACTAAACCGTACCCCCAGAGGCACCAGAGGACAAGGGGGCCAAGACTCAGTTTCCCCTTGACCAACTGCTCTTCCCCAGAAGGCAAGGAGGGAAATATATATATGTAAGCATGCATGTGGATATGCATATATATATATATGAAATCCACTGGGGGTCAGGGGCATTGTGCTGTTGCAGAAGTTGTACCCCCAGCTGAGACTGGCTGTACTGAGTCAGGTGAGCAGGCAGGAGTTTGAGGTGGTGGTACACATATCACCACCTCAGACGCCCTCCCGGAAGACCACAGTTCAGGATAAACATTACAAAGTTGGACCTAGTTTTAAAAACATTTTCTCCCTTTCGCTGAGCGTTTGTTCACGCCATTGTTTTTAAAACTCCTCACTGCACTGCTGCCGGCCTCCCCACTGAGCCCATCAAGCCCCTTACCTGGCAGACACATGGGCCAGCCCCAGCTCTGGGCAGTGGCAGCGGCAGGCGGCAGTGGCACCAGGCCTGGTATGCGTGTCTAACCTCTGGTATTGCATGTTCTGGGCAGGGAAGCGAGGGCGTCGCAGCAGTGCGGGATCGCTAGAGAGCAATGTGGAAGTAAGTAGGAAGCACCCCATCCAGCTGGCCATCCTGTGTCACCCACCCTTGGTTTCTATGTTGTCTTATTTTGCTCTTCCTTCCCCATCCTGCAGAGACACAGACTTGGCCCTCCCGCCCTGCCTGCCTCCGCCCTGCATGCAGCTTCTCTGCCTAGAAGCATCCATGCCTCTCACTGCTTGTTTTGACCCAAGGGTTGGGCAGAGGGAGGGTGTGGATTTTGTGTTTTCATCTCCACTTAACCCCTGTTCCCTGTGGTTCCTGAGCATGGTGAACGTCCTGGCTTTCAGGTCCCGCCCCGGGCGCAAGCGCCACCCGCCCCTCACTCATCCTCAGCTCTCACTGTTGGATGTGTTAGCCCCACTCGCCTGTCCCTACGCTCCGCCATCCATCGCTTCCTTCCTTGAGTTTTACTGGCTGTGTGTCTGGGGTCGGACACAATGGAATCGCTTAGCTAGCTAGCTAGCTCACAGGAGGAGTTTCTGAGAGAAAGGAAGAGTCAGTGTGGATTTCATGAGCTTTCATTCATTCCCCCCATTGCTCCCTGCTGCCCACACCTTGACTCAACCTACAGACCTTTTACTCCTCCTGGGTTTGTAACAGGCAGCTGCGAGGAAAGTCCTAGGCCATGGCCCCCGCCCCCAGGGATAAGGTCATAGGGTCCTACCTGTCTGGCACCACTTTCCCAGACACCTCTGGGCCCCACATGGCAGAGGTCCCAAGAGAGTTCATGGCCCAACTTTAAAGGAACCAGGTTCGTTCCTTTTTCACACTCACTGCTACTCCCTGGCCTCACATGCTCACAACACCCTACCCTGTCCCGTGGGATGATGTCTCACTCTGGCAGTGGTACAGCATGAGCAGAAGCATCCTTGTGCTGTTGCACACAGGAGATGCCCCTCACCTCCATCAGGACCAGTTCCCAGCTGCCCCTGCACAGTGGCTGTCAGGCCGAGCCCGCATCCTTCCCATCCTCGGGCCCAGCAGTCAGTGGGTGACTTCTGAATTTGGAAAACTTGGTCTGGCCTGTGTGCTTTGAGATCTTTTAATTTTGGTTTCTATGAATTTCCTTTTTAGGGCTCCATCATTAGCAGTCCTCACATGCGCCGGAGAGCGACCTCAACACGAGAGTGCCCATCTCGCCCCCCCCAGCCCGTGCCTAACTCCTCCTCTCTCCTGGGTTCTTTGTTTGGGAGCAGGAGAGGGAAGCCCCCTCCCCAGGCCCACCCACCCTCGGCCCCTCCCCCAGGACCCCCTCACGCCCATCACCCTGGGCCCTCAGAGGGCCCTCTGCTTGGGCATCATGCACAATACTGCCATGCGCAGCAGAACCCACCCCCCTATCACCACCACCACCACTACCACCCACCCCCACACCTGCAGCACACCCACCAGTACCACCATGGCCCACACGGGGGGCACCCCCCATACGTGACCCATGCGCACAGTCACCCGCCCCTGCCCACAGCTCACTCTGGTCATGCAGGGCATGCAGCGCATCATCATGGGCAACCTCCTGCCCCACCGCCCCCCACCAGCAGCAAGGCCAAGCCCAGCGGCATCAGCACAGTTGTGTAGACAGCCTAGGCAGTCGCCTATCACACACCAGGCACACAAGGGCCTACCAGGCACCAGCCTCAGACCAGCCGAAGGCACCACTGTTTCCACTTCCTCTGCCCCCATAGCCTGAGTGGATCCATGGGCTTGCCTTCCACAGAGCAGAGCTCCCACTCTGGCTTAGCCCTGGCACCCAGTCCTCCCTCGGCCCAAGGCTGGGCCTCAGCCACCATTGGCCTTGACACGGCGCTGACCAAGGAGAAGTGGAACTGGCTCTCACCCTGTCAGCCCTCAGCCCCTCACTCTGTACACATCTGAAAACTCAGCCTAGCAAAGAAAGCATGAGATACAAAAGTCAGATACAACAACCAACCGCAGACTGGCTGTGTTACTGTTCTGTTACTGGCAGTGGGCAAAAATAATAATAATAATAAGTAGACCTGATATGGGTGATGAAAATACGTAAGTAAACTTTATATAATATAAATATATAAATATATAAATATATGTATACATACTGTATAGGTAGTGTTTGTGTGTGGAAGATAAGCATTTCATCCACAAAGCTAGCACTAGGGACCTCCTAAGGACTGCCACATAAGTGACAGGAAGTCAATCTAGATAAATGTGTGAGTAGACCAAAAACCCTGCTAGAACAAACCCAGATCCTTCCATATTTTCATACAAAGAAATTCCCTCTAGCCTGGCTGAAACCTTATACGCTCATAACTCACTGTGCCAAGTAACACAGCACCTGACTGTCTAATACCCCTCTCTGCTCTGTATAAACTCCTCTTTTATTAACAGAGTACTATTCTAAGTAACCAGTATTAAAACTGCAGTTATCTCCAGTAAGCAACTAGGCAAAGTGCAGTCACCTCTATCCCAGCGCTTGGGGCAACCAGTCTAGAGCTGGCTGTCTCAGGACCTCAGCCCCACAGATCCGTAGACACTTTATACTGGCTGCCATAACTTTGAATCCCATGCTCTACATTCCTTCCCTCTGTACATGATGAGCCACACTCCCCTCCCCCACAATCCTCCCATGGCCCACATGGCAGAGGGACCCATCCCCAACACAGTGACCACTCATCTTTGTCCACCAATGCCATAACTCCCTCATCCAATTCCCAGCCCCAGCAGGCGGGTGGCGTGAGCGCTGGGCGGCCCAGGGCAGTGTGTGTGTCCCGTGTTGTGTTCTGAGTGGCAACAGCGATCACTGTAATTCCATGCAGCCATGTGCTCGTGACCCCTGTGTCATCACTGCGCCTGGCCAATGAGTGCTTGGCCCTGGCCGGGTGAAACCCCCTCCCACTGCCTCTCATGGTCCAGTGAGCTGCCAGGCCCCACATGCCCCAGCTGTGTTCTTGTCGCTTTCATGTGTGACACCATGCACTCCCTGGGGCCACATGCTGCCCACGTTCCTGTGCCTGAGTCACCCACGGGCTATACTTTACAGTTTCAGCCCTTCCAGCCACCGCAGCCTCCAGTGCTGTGCTCCTAAGCCTAGGACCCGAGGACTGCCTGTGGCCTCTGCCTGCGCGGAGTCCCTTTCAGAAAGGAAGGAGCTGCCGCCTGACCGTGGGCTGCGTCTAGGACCTTGTGAGCCAGCAGGCCTGCCCAGTCACAAGAGATCAGGAGCCCAGTCTGGCCCATCATCACCCTGCTGGTCTGCCGGGACTGCCCATTTCCCTCCTCTCATCCCTGTCCTGTCGTCATCGTCGAGGTCACGTACCAGCAGATCTGCAAACTGAGCACTTTGTATTTCTGCAGAGAGCAAATCCCGCAACATGGAGGGCGGCCTTCTGTCTCCCAGTGACTCAGCCTGCCTGCCCCGTCCTCTGTCGGCATGGCTCATCTTTCTCCTGTCATCTGCACAGAAAGAGAACTGATAAGCACAGTGCACCTGACTGGGGCCAGCTAGCAGGGAGCTGCCTGCCTCACAGTGCCCCGAGTCCCTTGCTTTCCTTAGGCTCTAAGCGCTGTCTTTCCTCGGTTGAAGGACACCGTCTGGCGGGGAAGGGGAACTGTGCTGCATGTCACCTGGCACCAGTCCTGTTGGACTGTGCTCTCTGTATTGTACATTTGCAAAATACACCAGTGTTACTGTTGCAAATAGTTGGAGTGGTAACATTAAATATGCCGGCTTTTTTTTTCACCTTCTTCTGAGCCAGTGGTAAGTTAACCATGAACTTGAGATTGTTCTGAAAGACATGGCCCTTATATACACTCTCACTCTTCTTGAAGGGACACCACTCAGGAACAGACCTGACGGAAGGCCCAGTTTATCTGGTGGGCTGGGGCCTCCCTCTCTACAGTCCTGTACTTCCTTGACTGGTCAGGGCTCTGGGCTCCTCTCTGCTGCTTTCTATGAGTCCTGGAGACATGCTGAAGATAGTAGGTGCGTTCTAGGGACTGGTCTAAGCATACTCAGTCTTTCTTGGGGTTCCCAACTCCCTGGGTTATTAAGTCAGAGCGATGAGACCTTGTGATCCTGTGTTGTGTCCCAGGCAGAGAAGTGTCTTCAGGATGTGTCTGGGCCTGCAAGTCACACAGCAGAACTAGGTTGGAAAGCACAATCTGCTAGTGGACTGTGACCCATATTGCCTGGCATACAGTCAGGGCATTGAAGCACTGTGGGTCCCTGTCTGAGGAAAGCCAGGAAGAGGCAGAGGCCCTGAGTATTTACACCTCTGCTTACCACTGTCAGGACACACTGGGGCCTGCACTAATGACACAAGTTATTCTGGTCATCTATGGAACTGGTGACCAATGGGAGGCAGCTGGTAACCTCACAAAGGGCTTTCTGGGGACAACAGTGAAGTTGTGGGTTTGTATTTTTTGAAGCTCCCAAGTGAGTTGTATAGTAATGTGAAAATAAAGTTCACCTTAATGTGCCGTCAGTGTCCCCAGCTGCCTGGTGTGGAGCATGCTCTCTAGCACATCTTAAAGCCTCTTGAGTGTTGTAAAGGGTTAAGCATCATCAGGTGCTGTTCAGAGACCTGAGAGCCATCCTATGTGGTGGGGGAGGGGAAAACCCAGTCAAGGTACAGCTGAACCTGGGTCCTTTGGGAGATCCCATAAATTCTATACCTCACTCAGGGTCTCACTCTTTTTAGTCTCCAGATGACATGACCAGGCTTGTCCTATCTGGATACAGCTTCCCCAAGACCTCTGACTAACTCCGATTGAGGGTACTATTGGGAGACTTGAAGGAGTGTTCAGCAATGTTCGTCAAGTTCATCTCAGCAAATGCTGAGGCTGAGGCTCAAGGCTCTCACTGAACTACAGAGGGGATGGGTAATAGGGAGAACCAGGGGCTGAGAGCAACATATGGGGAAAAGAGTAAGAAAGACCCCAGTAGCTCAGTCCTCAGGCTTAGAAGAGGGGCCATGATCCAAGGCAGACCCTGTCCATCCTCCACATTGATTAGTGTGATGTGTGAAGCTGGTTTGTGTAGGTTCTCATTTCCTGGTCCAGGCTATCTCTACATAATACACCTCCCAGTGAAGTTCCAATTCCATGTTGGACATTCCCAGAGGACCCTCTGCTGGTCTCTTTCAAAACCACCATGCTCCTCCACATGGAAGTGAACACTATGATCTGGGCAGTCCCTGTCCTCCATGTCTGTGGCTAGGTGTCCATCTGCTCCAGGACAACATTCATGTCCTCTCCCATCTGACCCCTTCAGGCTGTAGCCTGCGGGTCTCTGGAAGGGCTGACTACAGAACAGGTAGCCATGAAGCTGTGTTGGCCATTTGTCTCCCTTGGAACTGGCTGTATCTGATGTTACCTGTAGATAGCCTGGAACTGGACTGAACAAAATGCCCCTGAAAATGAACTGATGTTGGGAGATGGGGATGTTGGGCCAATACACTAGCAGCTGGGCTCAGAATGTGGCCTTCATGCTATTACCATTAACAGTGTGCCCAGCCACTGCCACCTTTTGACAGTATGAAGCCTGGCTAGGGACAGAAGACCTTTGGCAAGGATTTGTTCCTTTGACCATCTGATCCTTGCAGGCTGTGTACGGGTCCCGCCACTCAGTCCCAGAAGTATGTAGTCCTCACCCACTGGCCTCTACAACTCTGGTGTCTACACATTCTTCTAAGAACTCTACATGGTCGCATGGTCCTGCAAGCCCTTCCTCTCTGGAGACTCCTTTCCAGGCCCTCTGGGATGGCCAGTCTTCCATGGAGCTGTGAGGTGCCCTTGAAGGCCAAGTTAGGCTCCTCTTTTCCTGTGCTCCCTAGGCCATGCCATTAAGCCTCCAACACCAAGATGGTGTTCCTTACCAGCAAGTATATCATGTACTGTGAAGGTCACCTATTCACCTCTAGTGTAGTTTCATGCCTGGAAGGCTTTTAGAGAAAGCTTTTCTTCCCTGCCATTTAAATTGAAAAGATAGCCAGGCATGGTGGCACAAGCCTGTAATCCTGGAACTCAAGAGACAGGTAGGAGTATTGCCCTGAATCTAGGGCCACCTGGACTATAGTAGCAAGTATCTAAAAAAGACAGTCAAGGCCAACCACAGCTGTGCACTTCTGTAAGCTCAGCACTCGAGAGGCCAAGTAAGGAGAATGGCCACGGGTTCAAGGCCAGCCTGGGCAGCATAGTAAGTTCCAGGGCTAAATAGTAAGAGTCTATCTCAAAAATAAAATACAAAACCAATCTGAAAGCCAGAGATGCCCTACTTAAATCTGAAAGATGGGTTCCCTGCAGTTATCACAGGTTCCCCTCAGAGATGCTGGGAAGACAACACGGTACATTAAAACAACAGGCAACAGAGACCTCCTTATTTGGAGCTTCCCCTAGCCTTTGAGAACTACTCTGAAGAAAACAACCTCCATGTGCAGCTCGACTGTGCACGGTACTCAGGAAAGCAGAAGCCATAAATGTCACAGGTCTTTGGGAAGACAGTCCCCTCAGGCCAGCAGAACCCCACAGCACAATAGTCAGCGGACTCAGCGGAAGAATGCCAGTAACCTCAGCCAGCACCACAGACCCAAAGAAAGGGACCTCAGCAGGAGGCTGTAAAGAGGGAGTCAGTCCTCCACAAACAGCTTTTATTAAAGCATTGCACCCACCACCTGCTTCCAGATCCAAAGAACACACACAGGTGCAAAGGTCAAAGGCAGGGAACTGGGCTGATGCTTTCAGCAAAGTGCTCACTATACAAACATGTAGGACCTGAGTTCAAATCCCTAGGAACCATGTGAACGCTAGGCATAGGGACAATCATCTGCCCAACATTGCAGGAGAAGGAACAAAGAGACAAGAGTATCAAGGTCTCAGGCCACTTAACCCGGCCAAATCAGTGAGATCCACGTTCAATGAGAGACTCTATCTAAAGAATAAGCTGGAGAGCAATGGAGGAAGACCCTGATGTTAGACCTCTAGACTCTATAAACTCTATAAACATGTGCACACACCCACATAAATGTGCACATACTCCAGATGCACAAAGAAGCAGAAAGTAGCTAGAAGATGACCTACCTGTGACACAACCTAGAGTCACCTAGAAACAGGAAAGTTGGTTGAGGAATTGCCTAGGTCAGACTTGTCTCTGGGCTTGTTTTTGCGAGACTATATTGATTGATGATTGATACAGAAGGGTCCAGCCCACTATGGGCGGCACTATCCCTATGCCCATGGTCCTGTGCTGAATAAGAAAGCTAGCTGGAAAATTCTTCAAAGACCTCAAAAGAATGGTACTCAACTTCATATGGAAAAGCAAAAAACCCAGGAGAGCCAAAACAATCCTGTACAATAAAAGAACTTCTGGAGTCATCACAATCCCTGACTTCAAACCCTACTACAGAGCTACAGTACTGAAAACAGCCTGGTATTGGCATAAGAACAGACAGGAGGACCAATGGAACCGAATAGAAGACCCAGATATCAATCCACACATCTTCGAACACCTGATTTTTGACAAATAAGCAAAAATATCAAATGGAAAAAAGAAAGCATATTTAACAAATGGTGCTGACATAACTGGATATCAACATGTAGAAGAATGAAAACTGACCCATATCTATCACCATGCACAAAACTCAAGTTCAAATGGATCAAAGACCTCAACATAAAGCCAGCCACACTGAACCTCATAGAAGAGAAAGTGGAAAATACACTTGAACGCATTGGCACAGGGGACCACTTCCTAAATATAACCCCAGCAGTACAGACACTAAGAGAAACAATTAATAAATGGGACCTCCTTAAACTGAAAAGCTGTAAAGCAAAGGACACGGTCAACAAGACAAAACGACAGCTTACAGAATGGGAAAAGATCTTCACCAACCCCACATCAGACAGAGGTCTGATCTCCAAAATACACAAAGAACTCAAGAAATTGGTCATCAAAAGAACAAGCAATCCAATAAAAAAAAAAAAAAAAGGAGTACAGACCTAAACAGAGAACTCTTAACAGAGGAATCTAAAATGGCTGAAAGACACTTAAGGAAATGTTCAGCATCCTTAGTCATCAGAGAAATGCAAATCAAACAACTCTGAGATTCCATCTTACACCTGTAAGAATGGCCAAGATCAAAAACACTGATAACAACTTATGCTGGAGAGGTTGTGGGGTAAACACTCCTGGCATTGCTGGTGGGAGTGCAAGCTGGTACAACCCCTTTGGATATCAGTATGGTGATTTCTCAGAAAATTAGGAAACAACCTTTCTCAAGACCCAGCAATACCACTTTTGGGTATATATTCTAAGGATGCTCAATTGTGCCACAAGGACATGTGCTCAACTATGTTCACAGCAGTGTGTTTTGTCATAGCTAGAACCTGGAAACAACCTAAATGCCCCTTGACCGAAGAATGGATAACGAAAATGTGGTACATTTACACAATGGAGCACTACACAGCAGAAAAAAATTATGACATCTTGAAATTTGCAGGAAAATGGATGGAGCTAGAAAACATCATATTGAGTGAGGTAACCCAGACCCAGAAAGACAATTATCACATGTACTCACTCATAGGTGGTTTTTAAACATAAAGCAAAGAAAACCAGCCTACAAATCACAATCCCAGAGAACCTAGACAGCAATGAGGACCCTAAGAGAGATATACATAGATCTAATCTACATGGAAAGTATAAAAAGACAAGATCTCCTGAGTAAATTGGGAGCATGTGGATCATGGAAGAGGGTTGAAAGGGAGGGGAGAGGCAGGGAGAGGAGCAGAGAAAAATGTGGAGCTCAATAAAAATCAATAAAAATATTTAAAATTTCTGAGGATAATAAAATATTAGAAATAGAATGTAGAGACTCATACAGAGGAAAGAGCAATAAAGTGAAACTTGATTAATCAAATACTAGATTTGATAGGGATAATAGAACTAGCAAAATCTATACTGAATTGAGGTGAGGTCCTTATTTGGTTTTTAGCTCAATTATATTTTGAACTTTTCCCACTGAATACATTCTGTTTCTGCTTCAGCAATATCAAATGTGCATCTATTTTATTGTGTTACCTGTCTCCATGCTTTCTCTATTCTTTTACTTTGATATACTGAGTTTCTAAAAAACTCAGTCTGGATGACAAAATAAACAGTCTCAAAAATGAGTAAATTAAATAAAATAATAATTTTAAATAAAAACCACTGACATTTGAAGATAAAGTGGTGAGAGCATGTCACCGAGGTAGGCAGACTTGAAGACAGACTTGCATCTTGAGTTGAAGGCACAGAGTAAGGGAATTGCTCGCAACCGGCAGTCATCTGACCTGTGATGGGTGATGGTGGTATGGGTTTGACTGGGCTCATTTTTCCTGGTGGCCTGAGAAGATTTGCAGGAAGAAACCAACATTTGACCTGGTGACAATCTGCAGCAGATCTACCTCACCCTGACAATGGGCCATCAAGCTGGGATGGAACAGAGCCC